TTCTTCATTCAGTTTTGGTAATTCTTAAGTTTCTAGGAATACGTCCATTTCTTCTGTTTTTTACAGCCTATGTGAGTAAAGATTTTCAGAGGAAATATTGATAATCTGAATTTCCACAGGATCTGTAACGACTTCACCCTTCTCATTCCTCATTGCATGAATTTGTGTTTTTTCTTTCATTTTCTTAATAAAGTTGGCTGGGGGCTTACCAATTTTGTTTATTCTTTCAAAGAACCAACTCTTTGATTCATTCACTCTTTATATTGTTTTCTTAGTCTCAACTGTGTTCATTTCTTCTCTGATCTTTATAATTTCCTTCCTTCTCTGAGCTTTGTTCTTGACTTGCTCTTTTTCTAGAAGCTGAAGGCGTAGCATTAGGTTGTTTATTTGTGCTCATTTTGTTTTCCTGATGTGAGAATCCATGGCTACATATTTCCCTGTTAGGACTGCTTTCATTGTGTCCCACAGGTTCTGGTTTGTTGTATCTGCATTTTCATTTAATTGTAGATATTGTTTTATTTCTTGTTTAATTTCTTCTTGTGATCCATTGGTTGTTCAGAAGGGTGTTACTTCATTTCCATGTGTTTATGGAGTTTTTACAGTTTCTTTTGTCATTATGATCAATTTCAATGCATTATGACCAGATAATATGCATAAAATTATTTCAATTCCTTTGCATTTTCTTAATCATGTTTTGTGGGCTAGTGTATGGTCTATTTTAGTGAACATCTCATATGCAGCTGAGAAGAATGTGTATTGTGATATTATTGGGTAGAGCACTCTATAAACATCTATTCAGCCCATTTATTCACAGGTTTAATTCAATTCTCTCTATCTTTGTGACAATGGAGTATTTATGTCTCCCCTGGTATGCACCCAAGCCAGGGAGCTACTGTTTAACTGGGGTCTTGCAGGCCAGTTTCCTCCAGGTGGAAGGATACCTTACTGGCACTCTCACCAGCCCACTTGCAGAAAAAGGGCTCACACACTCTCTCATCAGTCTGCCAAGGTCCTCCCTGTGGGGGGAGGACTCACCTGCCAACCAAAGTCTTCTGGGTGAGAGGAGGAGTTACTGACCCACTGAAGCACTGCAGGTTGGGGGAGGGGTAGTCACTGTTTCCACCAGCTACTGAGGTTCTCTGGATGTGGGGAGGGATGGCCATAGTATTCATTTTTGCATGTTGATTTTCTATCTTACAATATTACTGGATTTATTTATTAGTTCTAGAAATCTTTACATGAAATTTTTTTGGTTTTCTGTATAAATGATGATATTCTCTATAAATGATTTCATGATTTGTTTCATATATATATGGAAGATTTTGGACAGAAAGAACTAAATGGAAATATAGATCCAGGAAGAATCAGTTCAGGATATACATATCCTTTTATCTTTATTTTGCCTGATTGCTTTTCTTTTTGTTTTGCCTGATTGTTCTGGCTAATGTTTTGCACACTATATTACACAGGAGTGGTAATAGTAAACATCTTTGTCTTGTGCCTGATTTTAGAAGGAATATTTTCAGTTTCTTCTGATTTAATGTGATGTTGGCTGTGGTTTGTCACAAATAACTTTTATCAGATTGAGGTAAGATCTTTCTTGAGATAAGGCATGTATTTTCTTCAGGGTTTTTATCATGAATAGGTGTTTGTATTTTTGTCAAAAGCTTATTCTGCATCTACCATTGGTATGATTTTTGTACTTGTTTCTGTTTATGTAATATATTATGTTTATTGATTTGTGTATGTTAAGCTATCTTTGCATCCAATTGAAGGCCTCGAGCCCACTATAGAGTCCCATAAGAGTTGGTGTCAGGAGGTCAAAATGTCTGCTTTGTAAACCAGGAGATGATGTCCAAGGTGAAGGTGAGTTAGGAGCTCCTCAGAAAAACAGAAGCAAGTCTTCTTTTTTGTTTGCCTTTTATACTGTTCTGACAACCATCCTCCTTAGGGTGGGTCTTCTACACCCAGAACTATATTTAGCCAACTTAGTTGGGCCATTTCTCACTCAAGCTGACACAAAGAGTTAACTCTCACAGCCATGTAAGTCAGGTATTTTGTCCTAGAAAGGAAAGGTTCACAAAATCTGGTGATAAAACAACCCAAGAAACACTTATACCTTTACTGATAAAAACATAAGAGAGAGGCAGGCATGGTGGCACACACCTGTAATCCCAGCACTCAAGAGGCTGAAGCAGAAGGATTGCCATGAGTTTGAAACTGACCTGGGCTACTAGAAGAGTTCAATGTCAGCCTGAACTGAGTGGCAAGATCCCATCTCAAAAAAAAAAAAAAGAAAGAAAGAAAAATAAAAGAACATAAAGTAGTTAAATCAGTAAAGACTTGTTCTCAGAATTTTTCAGATGTTTGTGGACAAGGCATTGGTGATTTCTCACACTCTTTGCAATTGTGTATATTTTTAAAGCCAAGTGTCCTCAGTGTGAGGGTTTAGTTTCAACAAGGATATTAGCTGGACCAAGAACCAAGTTATTCTTTTTCTGAGATAAGCAAAAGTTATATCCTTTTGCTAAAGGTGTTTATCTGCTGAGCACAGTTAAGTTGCTCTGCTGAAATATCTTTACAGTTCATGAAAGAAGAGGTTGCTGTGATTCATCTACTCCTTTTTCCTTTCCAGACATATCACCATGTGTTAGTGCCACAAAAATGAAATCTGACAGCCTAGAAAACCTAGAATACTTGCCAGGTGTTTAGATTCTAAGACAATTCCCTTAAGAGAGGCCTGTGGCTTACCATGGGAGAACTGAACACATCCTCATGAATTTTTCCTGAAAAGCCCTGATTCCTGAGATTCCTGAGATGGTGCCACTGCTTTGACTCATGCCAAATCCTAATCTGTTAAACTCCTCAGTTATTGCCAAGTTGTTTTTCTTTCTTGTACTCCATTTATGGTTGCCCAACTCTGTGTACTGTGAAGAAAAAAGAATGCACTATTTGTTTCTGTGAACAGATGATCACACAAGGATTGGCATCCCTGCCCAATGGCTTCAGCCACGCCTGAGCCTCACAGAAAACACACAGACAAAACACTGTTATTACACTTGAGTTTGCAGCCCAGTGGGAGTGTGACCATGCCCAAAGTTACTGCAGAGCCATAATCCCTAGGTCCTAATCAGTTTCCAAACAGCATGAAGAGAAGAGAGATGGAGGAGAAAAGAATTAGATCAGAGTATAGTCAGGAGTGAATCCCAGCTGTAATTACATCTTCCAAAAAGTGATGGTAAGTTTATATTGTTCTCAGTGCCTTATCGATAAAAGGTTCAGTTCATTTAAAAGAATAATAGTCACCGTTGGCCTGTGATCCAGCAGAGGCAGTGCTGGCTAAGGAAAAAGCAAGAAGGAAGCCACGCACACAATCCCATGAGTCAGCCTGCACAGAGGAAGGGAGGGAAGAACACCCCAGCCATAGGGCGGAGTAGTTTCGGGTGTTCAGGAGCAGGACTCCCAGAGGTCTCCGTAAGCAACTGGCTGATTTGGAGGAACACAAGGTGAGGTGATAACAACTAAAGAAAGAAACAACCTGAAGCTTGTATTGTTGGAATGACTTTGCAGGCTTAATGCCAGTAGTCTGAGCAACTATTTAGAGGATAACAATATGCAGTATAGGAACTATGGTGGAATTCCTACTGCTTTATGTTTTTAAATCCAATATTGGCTTCTCGCTGTTTTGTTTTATTGCTCTGTTCTATTCCTTTTAAAATAAAAAATAAAATAAAGGAGAAACATTAATAAATAATATGTGATCTGAAGTAATTAAATCACTAAATTAAATATTGCAACTTAAAATATGAAAATTCTTTAGAATTTGACTGTGTGCATGTATCATCAATGGATTTTGGTAAACATAAAGATCATGATTTAGTTAAGTATGGGGGAGGCCTGTTTTATTTTAATTGTTCTTATTCTATTCTATTCTGTTTGATTCTGTTCTATGTCCAAAGTTATCTACAGCTATTTTGAAGACATGAAAAGGCATTATGGTAACTATTGATTTTTTTTAATGTTTTTAGGCCTATGTCACTTACATTGGCATTTCAGACCAAATTTCTGGCCAAGTTGGTGCTGCTGGTCTAAAGATGGTTCTTTTTGCAGGACTCAAAGCTGCACTGGTGAAAAAAACAACATGAGCCTATGAAAATTTGGTCTAGGGGCTGGGGATTTAGCTCAACAGCATAAGTACATGCCTTGCAAGCAGGCGGTCATGAGTTCGATCCCTGGTACCCCAAAAAAAAAATAAAAAAACATGGTCTGCTTTTTGATGCATTTGCCTACAGCAAGTAAATTAAATCATTTTCTCCTAAAATATTCACAAAATCAGTCCCATTATGGTCAAGTATAACAGTTTAATAAATTCTAAAATTCAAAACAGTGCAATTTTTTATTTTAAAGGGATAAAACAGAATAAAACGAGACAAACCAAACTGGTATAATTGATATAGGCCTAAAAACATTATAAAATCAACAATAGTTACCATAATGCCTTTTGATATCTTCAAAATAGCTGCAGATAACATTGGACATAGTAAAAATCAAACAGAACAGAATAGAATAGAAACAATAAAAGTAAGACAATGAATACAGTAAAGACTTCAAAGCAAGCCAATAGTAAATCTAAAATTGCTACCATAATATGTCTTGCTACCTTTGAAATATTGTCTTGCTACCATCAGATTTAACATAATCAAAACAAAAGAGAATAAAATCCAACCCAATGGAAACAATATGGGACCCCAAAACAAGACCATAGAGAATTAACGATGGCTACAACCCTCAGAAGGAGCCCCCCCCCCGTGCCAGATGCCACACTGCATACTGCTATCCTCTGAACCTATGATCAAACCACTGGTTCTAGACCTGCAATGTTAGTGTAATGCCAAAGCACCACAGGCATCCAATTGCACTTCACCTCCATAGCTATCATCACAACTGTGTTTCTCCAGATAACCTGGTTCTTTATGTGGGATGGGAGGGGGGATTGTTACCTCTTGTTTGCCAGACCCTGTGCTGGAAGGGGCAGAGGTCTTGCTGTTCCCAATCCTGCAGTAGCTCATGCATGGTGCTGGTTCTTCAATTGGGCTTGTTTGCTGATGTGCCTTTGTTCTTTCTCCCCCAAGTCTGAAAATGGCAAACTGCAAATATTAACTGACATCAGTATAATGAAGTGTTAAAATGGAAAAATAAAAGTAAAAATACACATAATTAAGAATAAAAATAAAAATAACTACTAGTAATGAGATAAATTAAACTCATTAATAAGTCTGAAAATACAGAAAAACCCTTGATAATTGATAAGAATATAAATACCAAAAATAACTCAAAAAGAAGTAAGCATTGTAAGGAAATTCCTATCTCTGGAAAACATTTTATCATATTATCAAATATGTTTATTTCATATTAGAAAAAAACGAAGGTGGAGAAAATATTTCAATTTACAAAAGTGATTTCTCTAAAACTTTGTAATGTTTAACAGCCCAGCATGGTGGTGCATAATTATAATCCCAGCACTTAGGAAGCTGAGGCAAGAGGATTGCCATGAGTTTGAAGCCAGTCTAAACTACATAATGAGTCCAAGGTCATCCTGGACTATATAGTGAAACCCTGTCACAAAATTAATTAATTAATTAATTAAGAGCTATAATAGAAAACGAAAAATATTCATCATTTCCACAACTGTCACTGACAAGAAAGACAAATTGAACGACTTATACAGTATCTCCCAATTTCAAAAATAGTTTTCAAAACAAATGTATTATAATAAAGATACTGGTACTAGCATAGGACTACCCATATATCAACTGAATAGAATTGAGTCTGGGGGAAAACCTGAGTACTTAGTCAATTGATTTTCAACAGAAGTACCATAGTAATTCAATAGGAAAGGAAGCCTTCAACAAATGTGAGGACAATTAGATATCCATATAGAACATAATTAATTTGGACCCTGCCTCACATAAGTAACTCAAAATGAATCAATGACCTAACGTGGAAGACTGAGCTATAAAACTCTCAAAACAAAATATAGGTGTAAGTCTTCATGATCTTGAGTCAGACAATAGTTTCTTAGATATGACTCTGCCTTAGAATATTAAAAGCTTTGGTCTTTGGAGTATATCATCAAGAAAGTGGCAAAACAGCATTCATATTTCTCCATACAATAAAAGAAAATATTTGCAAATCATTCATTTCATGAGGAATTTGTATTCAGAATATATAAATAATTCTTACAATTCAAAAGTAAAAAGAAATCCCAGTATAAAAATAGAAAAAGAAGACTAAACTAGACACCAATTGAGGCAGGAGAGACCTGGTACTGGGAACAGTGGCAGTAGTTCAAGAATGGATCAAAGCAGAAGATGTGCAAAAAGACTAGCAGTGTGAACATTAACAAGAGTTATGAAAGATTTGCCAAAGATAGAAAAGAAAATGATATAAACCAGTGGAAAGAGTAACAGACTGGAGATTCAGGTGGAAAAGACTTCCCATTTATTAAAGATAATCCAAACAAAGAAAACCTCATTTAAAAAAGAATGTGCTGCTCTTCATGATATGATAAAAGTGCTACAACAGACTGTCAAATATCAACACAATTGGAAAGGTGAAAATAAACAATTACAAAGAAATGATGATACGACAAAGAAAAGCTAAAATCTCAAGAACAAGAATATAAGAATAATATCACCAAACTTATACATGAAGTGAAAATCAAAGAGGAGGAACTTAAGATAGAAATAAGCAAACTTTATCAAGATATGGAGAAAAAGGATTCTGGGAAGATGCACAACAGTAAGCAGCAGAGTGAACAGCCTCTCTGGGACAAACAGTCCAGATGCTGGAATATAGCATTCTGGAGAAGACAAAAAGGAAGGAAGTGGGTCCCCTTCAACCAGGAAGAAACTAAAGTGAGAATTGAAGCCCAAAGAGAGAAAAAAAGAAAAACTTAAACAGAAGAAGGTGAGAGTTGGTTGTGCTTTCAACTGGAGACAAAACCACTGTGTGAGAAGCACTGTTGGAACCTGGAGACGCACAGTTACAGTGAAGCTGATGGCTGGCAAGCCCAAAGGTCTCTCCGGGGAGATGCAGTAGTGGAGGAGTAGCAGACCAGAGAACTGCACTGGCTGGTGGTGAGTGTGGGGGACTCAGTCCTCCCATGGGAGTGGACAATTGGCCAAGGGCCATTTTGAAGTCAAGCAAGTAAATCTGAAGACAGAACTGCAGCCAGCTTCATTCAGCCACTTCTAGCTCAGAGCAGACTAGAGGAAATTGCTTGGACTGAGTCCCGTCCCTGTGTGCAGTCAATAGCCACCACCAAGGTATCCCTAAAGCTATCTCTAACCCACCCTGCCTGCCCAGTGCATACTAATGTGGTGAAGACTCCCTGCAGTTAACCAGCTCGAAAGGGAGGTGCCAGCCTGCACTGCCCCTGCTTGCACTCTAGTAGCCACCAACAGGCTGGGAAAAGCAACAAACAGCAGAAATCCCTAGTTAGCACACTTCAGAGTAAATCTAACCAATACAGGAGGTGCCACCTACCCATTTTTGTCTGAAAGAAATCAGGCACATAACAAGGAACCAGAAAGTAACAATACAAAGGCTAGAAGATGACAAGAGGAACTATAACTTAAGAATAAAAAATGTGAGTGAAGAAGCAGGAAGTAAACACAAATGAAACACAAAGGCTATTTACAGAAATAATTAAAGAAAATTTCCCAAACAGGAAAGGGACATGATATTCAAATATCTGAAACATAAGAACTTTAGCCAACTATAGCCAAAATAGATCTACACCCAGACATATAATAATCAAGATCCCAGAAATTCAAAACAAGAACAGAATATTAAAAGCCATCAGAGAAAAAGAAATAGATCACCTATAAAGGAAAACCCAGAATCTTCTTGACAGACTTCTTGACACAAATCATCAAATCAAGAAGAGCCTGGAGTGAAGTATTCCAAGTTCTGAAAGAAAATAGCCTCCAACCCAGATTGATGTACCCTACAAAACTATCTCTCAAAATTAATGGAGAAACAAGATGCTTCCATGACAAAGAGGAACTGGGGGAGTTCATGACCACCAAACCAATCCTACAAAAACTACTGAAGGACATTCTGGAGAAAGAGAAAAAGATCATGGCTTCAGGAACAACAGCAGAGGGGACTCACTGAACAGGGCAGACAGATGAAGGAGAAACGTAGACAACCAATGACAAAATAACAGCATGGCAGAGATGAGGCAGAGAAGGTTGGCCATAATCACTAATACAGATGGACTCAATTCACCAATAAAAAGAAACACAGATAGAGTGGATCAGGAGATAGGGTCCATCAATATGCTTTATACAAGAAATACATTTAACTCAAAAGGGAGTTTACAGACTGAAAGTCAAAGACGAGAAAACAATGCTTTGTGACAGGGAACTAGAAACAAAATGAGGGTAGCTTGCCCATGGACTGCAGATAGGTTAGAAAGTCATGACAGGTTTATACAATGGAAAACTACTCAGTTATAAAGAAAGAAAACCTTGAGGCTTTTGTAGACAAATGGAAACAGCTTGCGATCATGCTCAGGGGTAAAAAGGTTCAGAATCATTTAGGTGAATAGCAGGTCGCCTGCCTAATATAAAAACTAAAGGAGTTAGTGAGATCGAAAATGTACAACACCTCCCATGAAAGTAAGGTGGGGGAAGGAATTGTATAAAAAGAGAAGGCAGTGGCCACTGTTAATCTGTTATCATAATTTGAAACCCATATTGTTTTCTTTGTTCTGTTTAGTTTGGTTTTATTCTGTTTCAGTTTGTGTACTTGTATTACATTTGGTGGCATGGACAGTTATTCCAAAGATAGCAAGATATATTATGGTAACCATTTTTGATTTCCTATTATCTTGATTTGAAGCCCTGTATTGCTTTCACAATTTTGTTTTGACTGATTTTATTCGAATCTGTTTGTTTGATAGTATTAAATCTGATGGTATAAGCAACTACTCTGAAGATAATAAGATACACTACAATACCCATTCTGATTTGACTATTATCTTCTTTTGAAGTCCTATAAAGTCTCCAATGTTTGGTTTTTATTATTTTTGTTCTGCACTGTTTTGTTCAATTTTATTATGCCTGATGATAGGGAAGCTCTTTTGAAGATAACAAGAGGCATTATGGTAGCCATTATTGATTCCTTATATTTTGTTTTTTAAGTCATATATTATGTTGATCCTTTTGTTTTGATTGACTCTATTTTGTTTTGTCTCATTTGGTGTTATTCACTTCCAAATTAAATAAATAAATAAATAAAAGAAAAAAGATATGGAAAGAAGTTGAATTAAATGAAGAAAATCACAAAGATCTAATAAAGAAAAAGAAGACAGAAATTTCAGAGTTAAATGCAAAGTTAACAACTCAAGAAAAAGAAAATCAAAATGAAATAATCAAACTATAGCTGGAGAAGCTTCAAAATCTTCAAGAAGAAATAAATACCACTCACAATTTGGAGCAGCACCCTTCTATTGACAAAAAGTCTCCCTGTAAGTATAGCCAATTTTAAGTATAACAGTATGTTCCTTAATTGCTATTTACTTTTTAAGAACAATTGAAAATTTCACTTCTATTTAAAAGATAAGCCTAAATAATAAACAGCTTTTCTCTCTTTTTTTCAGTTTTAATGTACAACAGTCTTTGTTTACAACTTTATTGGCAAAAAAGAATAAGGAAAACACAGGGCACTGTAGCTGATCCTGCTGAGTTCATGTTTCATTTCAATGTCCATTGAATCACCCACAGATATCTTATACTGAATCTGTATGTGCAGTTTTCCTTATAAAATACAGTGCTCACATTCAAGGTAGTCTCTCAACCATATAAATACAAAGGAAAGGAAATCACTCATTGAAAACTGCATCAAATGAAGGTTAGTTTTAATGTAAATTTATACTGCATGCCCAATGAAAATCAAAATCTCTAAAATCAGTTATATTTCCTACCTGAACAATTACAAAAACCATTTTCTGAGGTGGGCATGATGGCACATGCCTGTAATTGCAGCACTCAGGAGGCTGAGGTAGAGACTCACTGTGAGTTGGTGGCCAGGCTGGACTACAAAGTAAGTTCAAGGTCTGTCTCAAAAAGAGAAAAAAAAAATGAAACGACCTTTATATTTTCAATTTATCATGAACTTGATATGAGATGTAGCTTAAGTCAGAAGACAAGATATAGGGAGAATATTCCTTCTTTGGAGCAGGGCAAGCCTTCCAGAATCAGCACAGGAAATAAACATCCTGTTGAATCTAGGAAGTCAATTTCAACCCACACTGAGCTGACTTAATCTTTTCACTCACTTGTTTGCTGTCATTCTTCTAAATCAAGTGTGCTTAATTCTTCTTCCAGTTCATCCAGATATTCCCCAATACAAAGATTTTCATCAACAGAAACAGCCCCAACAGCTCCATTCTCTTCCTCCACCTCATCCTCCTCCAAGTCACTTTGACCTCCATTTTTGGCCTACCTTCAGAGGCTTCTCTTAGTTTGTTTTCATCTTTATCTGAAGTACAGGTGCTGAATCCTTTTGAGACTGGCTCCAGTGATAAAACAGCCTAAAATAAAATAAAACTAGAAAAAGGATTTGAGCAGTTATGCCCCCAAATAAGACATATGATGGGCAATAAACATAAACATATGGTCAACATTATTTGCCATTAGAGCAATGTTAACTCATAACCATAATGAAATACAACTTCACACTCACCAGTATAATACTTTGAAAAACACTTTGGCAATTCCTTAAAATGTTAAATATAAAGTTGCCATAAACCTCATAATGCTATCCCTAAAGAAAATTGAAAACACATGTCTGGGATGTTCATAACAGCATTTTTCGTAAGTCAAAAAGTGGAAATTATCCAAACAAAGAGAGATGATGAAAATGTTATAAAATTGATATGATGATTTACAATTTTGCGACGTATTAAAAACAACTGAATTGTGTACATTAAAATTTAGATTTTTATAGTATTTTTATAGTATGTGAATTTTATTTCAATAAAGTTCTTAGTAAAATGAATTTATTGAGCTGGGGATATAACTCAGAGACATAAGTGCCTGCCTGGCAAGTGCAAGGTACTGAGTTCAATTCTGGGTACCCACCCCCCACAATAACAGAAAAAAAATGAATTTATGTGTAAGTTCTAGGTAACACTGTTGTCTCTTATGAAAGACTGAGTTGACAGGTTATATCCCTGGAGATTGGATCTGGGATGGGTTGGAGGTTATAGGGCTGAGACAATAAAATCAGGTTAATCTCATATTAGTAACACTCATGACGATGCGATTATGTTCCTGGCCTATTTTAAAGCCCATCAGCTAAGACAAACCTAAGACTCTACAATTTTGTAAAAATACATATAAGCTTATGGAAGCAGTGCAAATGGGTTAGTAAGTTAGGCAGGGTGATTTCTTTACCTACCAGCTCTGTGATCTTGACTAAGACACATAAACTCTCAAATCTTCAGTTGTACTATCTGCCCAATATTTTTAATTATGTGAGTAAAATAAAAATCCTAGTGTTGCCATTATGAATATTTTTTGAAAAATAACATGCTTTATTAAATGAATTGCCAATACGAAAGAAAGTGGGGACTAGCATCCTTTTAACTTTTTTAACAAATTAATTTAGAACAGTTTTAGATTCACTGCAAAATTGAACAGAGATTTGTCATACATGTATCTAAAACACACACTCACACACACACACACACACACACACACACGTTTCCTCTACTATTGATATCCCTTCCCAGAGTGGTACAATTGTAGCATCTTAACCTCCACACCCATGCCAAATGCTATGCTAAGAACCACTGACTTACATTCCCAGCTCTGAAATAGCTGATGAATCCACACAGTCACATCATTGTCAGCAGAGTTCATAATTTAAATTAGAGCCCACTCCTGCTGTTGCACATTATGGATTTGGACAAATATATGACAAAGTATATCTATCACTGTGGTATCTTATGGGGTAGTTTCACTGCCCTGAAAATCCTCAGTGCCCTACCTTCCCTTTCTCTTACCCCTTGAGAACTGCTCCCCCTGTTATTGTCTTCATAGTTTGCATATCCAGAATGTCATCTAAGCGGGATAACACACATGTGCATGCAGCCTTTTCAGATTGCTTTCACTTAGTGATATGCATTGAATAATATGTCACTGCCTGAATGTACCACAGTTTCTCTATTTACTTACTAAAGGACATCTTGATTGCTTTCACTTCTAGCACTTAAACTGCTAGAAATATCCAAATTCAGGATTTTAATAAAACAGATTTTAACTCATTAAAGTAAATAACAAAAAGCATAATTGTTGGATCTCATAGTAGGAGTATGTTCAGTTTTACAAGAAATGCCAAATTGTCCTCCAAAGTGACTGTACCATTTTATATTCACACCAACAATAAATGAGTTCTCTTACTAATCCATTTCCTCTCCAACATGATGATGCCAGTATGCTGGATTTGCAATGTACATTCTAATGTATGTGGTAATACCTCATTGTCATATTAATGTCCCTTTTCCCAATGACATAGCCTGTGAAACATCTTTTCATATGATTAATTCTATCTGTATATTTTCTGTATTAGTCAGCTTTCTCAGGACAAAATACCTGACATCCACAACTTAAAGGACAAGTTTATTTTACTCAGAGTTTCAGCAGTTTCCATCCATGATCTGCCAGCTTCAAAGCAGGAATATTATGGCAGAGTAATGTAATGAGGGTATGCAGCTCAACTCATGCCATCTAGATCTGCTCTGAACTCTAAATGGAAGCCTCTACGATCCTATCCCTGGATTCTGCATGCCTATAAAACCAGTGCCACGTGACTGTCACCAGAGTTGACTACAACAACACGCAGTCGCCAGTCTCCCTGAGACCATGACTGCAGCCACTTGTGAGTGCCTGGGACAGTGGAGCATGGTGAAATCAATCCTGGGAAACCAGTTCCAAAGATGTGCTTCTCCAAAGGGACTCTTCTCAAATGAAAAGTTTACATTTTTACACCTTGAAGCTTGAGACTGTTGAGGGCTTGCTGATTCCTGGGATGCCCTCAAGGCGTCTTTCTACTTGTTCCTACACGAAGTACTTGGTTTCTTTTAATGGTACTAATCTCTTCAGCAAGCACACCATCTTTGGTCCCATCTCACATGTGGTTATTTGGGAACCAAAACTTAAGTTTTCAAATCTCTCTGCTCTGCTTTATGCTCCCAATTATCAATATAAATGAGACTGAATACCAGCCACAAGCATTCGTGTTATAGCCTAAACACTGGGCTGCCTTCAAATTTTCTCTACCAGATCAGTTAGTTTTTTAGGGAGAGATTGCTTTTGTTTTTGAGACAAGGTCTCACTAAGCAGTTAATGCTGTACTTAAACTCACTGTGCAGCACAGGCTGGCCTCAGACTGAAACCAATCCTTGCCTCAGCCTCCCAATCCACCATATAAATTAGTTGAGTTTAAAAACTCTACCTAACAAAGTTTTAGGGTATAAACAAAATACGTGCAAATTCTTTGTGGAAATGAAATAAGCATGGTTCCTAAACCAAATCTAAATAGAACCTTCTTTCCCATCTGAAATTTCATTAGCCTTGTCCTCCAGCTAGCCAACACTCGGTTCTTCTGAGCTTCAATTAGAATCTCCTATAAGACTCAGAATTTTAGGCTTTCTTTAGTCTACCTCTTCAAACTTTTCCAATTCTACCTACAAATCCATTTCAAATGCTTCCGAACCACATAATCAGATATAGTCAATGGAGGCAATGACCTCATTTTTCTGGTACCATTTTTTTATTTTTCAGCCTTTCTACCACTGTGATAGAATGCCCATAACTTAAAGGAGGAAAGGTTTGCTTTGTCCTGTGGTTTCAGAGGTTTCAGTCTGTAGAAAACTGATTCCCAGGCAGAAGCATCAGTGCAGAAGGAAGCTTTTCAATTCATTATGCTCAGGAAGCACAAAGAAAGAAAAAAGACAGAAAGGAACAGATAGAGTACCCATGGTTATGCCCCCATGATCCGCTTCCTCCAACTAAGCCCTAACTCCTAATAGGCCATTCAGCTATAAACTCACCAATGGATTCACCCACTTATAAACTTAGTGTCCTCACAATCCATTCGCCTCTCCAGGAGTCTCTTAATCCAGTCAAGTTTGTGATCAAAATTAACTGGTACATTTTCTTTGGTGAAGTGTCTCTCAGATCTTGTGCTTTTATTTTGTTTTGGGGGCCTTTGGGGAGTGGTTTTCTGTTTGTTTTTGTACCTGGGATTGAACTCATGACCTTGCACTTACCAGGCAGGTGCTTATGCTACTGAGCTAAATCCCTAGCTTTTTGTCTACCTTTTAATACTGTTATATTTTTAATAACATTTTCTTATTACTGAGTTCTAAGTTATTTTTGTATTGGATAACAATCTTCTTCAAATATGCCTTTCATGCCAGGGGTAGTGGTGCATGCCTATAATCCCAGCACTTCTGGGAGGCTGAGGCAGGGTGATCACTGCAAGTTTGAGGTCATACTGGGCTACAAAGTGAGTTCAAGATCAGCCTGAACTGCATAGTAAAACTCTATGTTAAAAGGCAAAAAAAAAAGTCTTCCATATGTATTTTTTCAGTGGATTTCCTACTCCATTTGTTTGTGTTTGTGTTTGTTTTGTTTTTGTTTTCGGAGTACTAGGGATTGAACTCAGGGACTTTGCTCTAAACTGCATTCTCAGCACATATTTTTTTTGAGACAGGGTCTCACTATGTAGTTTGGGCTGGCCTTGAACTCACTGTGTAGCCCTGGCTGACCTCAAACTCAATTTTCCTGCCTTACCCTCTCGAGTGCATATTGGCTAGCTTGGAGTGTCTTTGTCTCTGTGCATCTTGAAGCATTGACCTCCCAGCTCCTCTGTCATGCAATGCTAAATTTGTCTCTATTTCTTATTTCATCCGCTCACTATATCATTCATATAGGCAGCTGAGGATCTTGACCAGGTCCCCAGTCTCCATGTCTAGTAATTAAATCATAGGTGTCTGTGAGCCCCTTTGAAGTTTTTATAATTTCTGCTGAATATCTGGAGGTGATTGACAAGTGAAAAAAAAAATATATATATATATTTAGTATATTTACATTAAGACTTCTGTAAGGCCGGCGTCGCAGGGAAGAAGACCCCAAGGACTCACGCCTCTAAGGGGGCAAAACTTTATTTCCATGCGCATGGGGTCCACCCGGCAAACGAGTGCGGAGGACCCTGAAGGGAAGTTATACAGGGTTTTTAAAGGCATAAACCGCAAAGCAGGCGAGATTACAGAAGCAGATCGCATTGGTTAGTTTTGAACGGCGCAGGGCTTGGCGGGGGCTGATTGGAGGGCCTTAGGGTTGGGTAACTTTGGTGCCCGGGGGTCGTAGCTCGGTCACTGTGTTTCCGGAACAGTTGTTTATCTTTTTTGTTTTTGTTTTTACCAACAGAAAATCCCTTCTTGTTTTGTACACATAGCTGGGGGGGGGGCAGCTGTAAAGTTAACCCTTTCATTCCCCCCTTTTCTTGTGAATAACCTTTAATCTTAAAGGTCTTGTAT